AAAAAAAAAATGCAGAACTGAGATCTTTTTGCTGTTATGTTTAGAGTATGTATTTAATTGTTGTGCCTGCATAATGCCATAGAAAATCCTGGTTTGCTTTCACATATTCGACAAAGGACTTTTTAGAAGGGCATTTTTGAAGTAGATCCACACTCATTAAATATATTAGTAAGAATCCAACACTTAACAGCTATCGGTGGATTGTAGTATTGAAAATTTGCAAATAAACATGGGAAACAGAACTCAATCTGAACACGTTCTCAACAACGAGGCACTCGAGCTTTAATAGTGCTAGCCCAATGGCTATAATTAAAAAGCATCTGAACTCACTTAATTTAAAGTACAGTTGTGTCGCACAGTGTTCTTTCGCACCACTCTATGTAATCATAATCTGTACAGTTTCCTGACTTCTGTTTATATAACACACGAATGCGAGAATTATTTATAAAGTCACAGCTGTTCTCTTTCCTAGCCTTTGTTTCTCACAAGTCTTAAATATTTGTAAAAACAAGAAAAGTAATTAAAGTATTGACACATTAAGCAAACATTTCCCCAATCACGCAGCTTAAATAGAAATCATTTGTTTAAACAGAACTTGCTAAGTATATGTACAAAAATACAGCGTTTAATAGTTACTACATACTAGGAAAGCCAACTTGCATTTAAAGAAACAAAATAAACAATGCCAAACCGTTACTAATATTGCAGTCAACCACTCAAACATTAGGAACTCCCAGAACTGAGTGCAACGGTTTGGTGTTTGCCCAGATCTGTGAAGTAGCTATGTGCCATCTGCTCCTCGCACAAAGGACATGAATTTATTCTTGCTGGTGGGAACTGCTGTCGAAGAGCCAGCACTTGGCAGTGTTAAGTCCTTACCCTTGAAAAGCTGGCAGAACGCGCTTTTTAGCCTTTGAGTTCTCTAATAATGTTCCCCTCCAGGGTGCGGGTCCCTCATGAGTGCTTTATTTCCCTCTTTATTCTGATTCACCATCCCGTGCAGACAGGCAGGACACCTCAAGTGCATCGGTCTCCGGTGGATTCCCCCTACCTGCCAACACCTGACGGGCTTAATTGTAAAATCAATCAAACATCTAAGTAGCGAAATTTATCCTAGGCTTGTAGTTACAAGTTGAGAAATCATAGTTTGCAACTTAAGACAAATACAAAAAAGCAAAACCAGCCTGTGGTCTGCGGCAGGATTGCCTCCTCGCCGTCACCCACCGTCTGTCCGGGACGTCCAGCTTCCCGGAGACGAGAGCAGCACCCTGCCCTTCGTGGTGGCCATGCGGTCTGGCTGCTTTCCACCTTCTGTTCCTGGGGAATTAGCTTTTGGACACAAAAGCAAATGTCTGATAGTCGGAGCCAGGTATCTTGGTAAAAGGGATTTTGCAGACTTGGTCACATGTAATCAGTCAGGGAGCAAGTAATCTAGATAAATGCTAATGAAAGCTCTTGCTGGCACCTTGTGTATTCAAAGGCTATTTACTATTGTTCCTAGTCAGCTGGCTCGCTAACTTCCCATTCAGTCTGTATTGCTCAGATTCAGCCGGGACCGCTATAATATTCACATTACACGTAATATAAGCCATCCACTACGCGTACATTTCGTTAAGCTCATTATCCGTGGCACGCTGGCGGGACCACACATGACACGTTGTTAAGGCAGATGACAGAGCCCGTAACGAGCTGCCTTGTCTGGACAAAGCAAAGGAAGCCCCTTTACCTCCACCGCGTACGGCAACACATCGACACGGGTTCCAGTGACGCGCCGGGCTTGCCTGTGTCCCTACGTTATAAAGCAGGTGTAATCACGCAATTAACATCTACCCCATCCCGGCGGCTCTTTCTGGCGGGCTGGGTCCAGCCGTGAGGAGCGCTGAGAAGGTCTCTTTGTTCTCGAACCTCACAAAGAGCAATTAGGAAACAGAACTGCAGCGCTGGAGCCTTGTCAGACCGGCTGGCATCACCCCCCGACCTCATTTATGGTGGAAGAAGTCTTGTAAGAATTAAACTGAAAACCCGTAGCAACTTTTTACTCAGAACACGGAAACTGCAACAGCTTACGAGCTGACCAAATTTAGCAGATTTCACAGGGACAACACAAACCATCCCTATGCCAAACTTCCAATTCTTGTTTCAAATTATGCTGATACTAAAACCTTCTCAAAGAAAACACATCTAGAATTTCTCAACATGGGCGAACAATGTATTTTTTTTCTGTAATCTTACTCTTGGAAATGACTGAAACACTTCAGCTGAAGTGTACCATTAAAATCAAAAATCAGCCTTGGACAATGCCCAGAACACAAGTTTGCAGCCCAAATGTTTAAAGTTTGGCAAAGTACGGTAAAAACTAGTCTATATTAACTGGAGGCAGCGCTACCATTTCTGCCCATAAGATGAACAGAGAAATAGGAATTAGATTTCAATAATGGAGAACATCTCCGTTGAGGTGAGCGCTGGCCTGACTGCCGGGCTAGCTTATTTACCAAAGCAACAGCGCAACAAAGCCAAGTGCGCCGTTAAGCCGCCCTGTTTGCTGCTGAGCAACGTGCTCAGGCTTTGCTAGCCGACGAATCTGAAACATCGCGTTTATGGGATCGCTCCACTCTTCCATCAAAACAAGAAGTCTTCTGCTGGCCTTACTCTCCTGCCCTAATTTACGGATTAGCTTTTGAATCAGGTGAAACATTATCTCGTATAGCCCATTGCGTTACTATAGGAAAATAATAAATAGGGGCATTTCCCTTGAAACCAGAAATTAAATATCCCGTATGTTTCTGGTTTATTTCTCATCGGATCCAGCTGCATGTTATTTCCAAAAAAATTCCTGACCGAACCCAGCCACCTGAACTGAACTACGACATTTAAATAGCAACTAGTATTTGAGAAGAAACTTAATTGCACAGGGGAAAAAAAATCATAGGCAACATTTTTGAAAGCTATACGTTAAGCTGCTTAATCAAATTACATAACCAAAAATTATCTAATCAAAAACTTCTATGATTCTATTCTTTACAATTTCACTAGGGTCTTTTTTCTTTTTTTTTTTTACTTAATTCACTTATCATCACCATCTTTTCTGCTTTTAGGGAATGCTAGTTCCGTCATGCAAGAACTTTCCAGTTGTTCAGGATCTAGAGCCACTGGCTGTCAACCAACTTTGGAAAAGGCCGTAGTATGTGGTTGGCACGTCTAACCAGGGAGAGCCGCAGTCGCTCTGCAGCAGAGGATCCAGGCTACCGCTGTCTTGCTCTAACCTTGCAAGTTCTACCGCTATCGCAGCGGTGATCTCGTCAGGGAAACCGATACCGCAGTCACAGCACAGGGATGGGGTCCCTGTCTGCTTTCAGATGTTTGGCAGGGATTTGAAGATTTCTTTCTTCTCCTCTAAGTAGGTGGATTTTGCTACCAAAACACAGTCTCCGAGTTAGGGGACCCCTTCTTGTCCCAGTCTCTATTTACTAAAGTTCAGTACTGAAACACATAGACAGCATGAACTGCATCTCAGCAGCTGATCATTTTAATGCGAATTCTGAGTCGGTACAATTGTAGCAATAGCTGGGTATCCTACAAGAGACCTATGGACAGAGCTTGGGTGTAAAAGCTGCAGATGATCCCTGCGCGACACTTCCAGTGCTGGCCACAGAAAGTCGCTAAGCCAGTAGTCAGAAACCAGTTGGAGAGCCGCAGCGCGAGATGCGGGCCCTCTGCCACGCAACGCCAGTATCAGAATCATACTCTTGGTCTCATTCCCAGCAACTCTGTCATCTTCTCTTCTTTGTAGCAGAATTAATTGAAATAAGGATTATAAAAACACACACTTGCTGAATGCTGAAATAATTGGAAACAGTACGGACAACCCAAACTCGTAACGCAAGGTAGTGTTTCCTACAGGCTGGAAAATATCCGTAAAGTTTATAACTTAGGAGTACTTTTCTCATTCATTGGGCGGCTCGCTGGTGTTTTATCCTTCGCATCTATGGCACAGGTTCAGTGAGGATCTAGGCACTCAAATACTGAATAATCATAAATGCCATACTTACTTTATTGTCTATCTTTTTATAACCTGGTAAAGTTTATATTTTTAATATAACAAATAATATGTGAACCTGTCATTTACATTCTTCAAATACAGCGAGAGCAGCATAAGTGGCTGTTTTTCACTTGGTGTAAATATTAATCTAAAGCTAATCTATAACTATTAATCCAAAGCACTCTCTTTTTCCCCCCTAAATCCACATACATTCACGTATATCTCTTCTGCTTTGTAGCCAAGTCCTAGGGCTATATGTGGGCTTTCAGGGCTAGAGATGTTGTGTTTGTTAACTGCCTGGTTCAGCCATCTCCTGCTGTAAAACCGAGGTGCTCAGATGCCACCACACTGTGAGAGAAAAAGAAACGCTCCTAAGCATATTCAACTTTGCCACGGCCACCGATGAGTTCTGTACCATGACATTCATTTCACTGTGACTTACGCTTAAACTGTACTGCTAGCCCGCTTAAATATGGTAAGAATTATCCTGAGGGACCGTAGTAAAATGTAGTCGTGTTTATTTGTAATTGCTACAAAATGGTTTACAAAATTGTTAGTGTCTTTTATTACGCCCGCTACTGAAGCACTTGCCTGTTAATTAGAGAAATTTCAGCTGTCATAGCTGGCAATTACAGCTTCTGTATCACTGTCTGTTATGAATAGTCAATGAGAGCTGATTAATATGCATGAGTAGCAGTATATAGCGTGTGCATTGGAGCACAGTGCCGCAGCCGGAGCGGAGCGGCAGAGGGAGTGCTGTGTGCTGCCAGGGAAGGAGGGAGAGCACCAGAGAAAAGAGCACCCTTGCTCTGCGGCAGCCTGCGCGACACCGCTGCGAGCTGTTCCAGTCCGGCCGACCCACCTAGGGCTGTCAAGGATAATCTGCATGCATGCTTGGTAGCAGAGATCGCTGCGGCCGCTCGGGTGAATAAGGAAGATTATTTCTGCCGCTTACTTAAACATGGGATGCAGTTTGTGCACTCTACAGAAGCAAGAAGAACAGTACAAGTTACTGTATGAAGTTTGTCAGGTAAAGAATCAGATTTCATTTCTGGAAGCAAATGTTCTCTTTTAGGCTCGTGGCCACTGTTAATGACAGGGAAAACAGAATACCAAAACCTGCTTATACAGGCAGAAGTGAAAGGGGGTTTGCCTTACTTGATATGTGTATGATAATGATTATGTTTTTCTGATGTACCTCCCCATTCACGCTTGCAGAACATCAAATATTTAAATGCATGCTATTGTACATGAAACTTTTTAGAAAACTTTACATCACAAAAGAGGACTCCAGAACACATTAGCCAGAATTTCTTGACAAGGGTCATAGTTTGGTCGCGCGCTCTTTGAACAAGGTAGGAAAGACGTGCGAGGGAGGTTTTGTGTCTGTTTACAAGTACACAGAGACACTTCTTTCTGTGCAGTGCATTCATTCAGCGCTCAGTCCGGTCTTTAAGTGCCTGTTCCTGAACAGCCAATGTAAGTTTATGTCTAGTAGTTGTAGTTTTTGCACCTCTGCATGTAGAAATACCAGCTAACAAACAGTTAGAATTGACAGCGCATCAAAACTACTACTCTGCAGATCTTTATATGTCAAATCATTCATATTAAGCACGTGTTAAGTTTTCTAAAAATGTGATAACACACTAACATTTATTACAAAAATGTTGTTTCCTGTGCTTCTGGTTTTTCTTCTGTCTGTATTATCTCCCTCTGTGAAATTTCTTACTCTGTCACATCTGAACTCTGATTTGGACCAAGACAGCATGATGGAGCCATGCAAAGCGATGGCCAGGTGTTTAGGGACGTACTCCCACTGATCTCTTTTGAAACAATCATAGGCAGAAAGCGAATGGTTCACCTCTGGAAAGGTGAAGTGGGTTGTCTGTGCAAACACTCCAGACAAACAGAAACCACCCCGATCCCTCAAGCTGTACGGTACCACCTCGCCGTTCCGAAGGCGACAGTCGCCCCCAGTCGCAGGCGCGTCGGCCGGTCGGCATTTCCCAGCGCTGTCGTGTTCCGCACTTGCCGGCAGAGGGAATTGCTCAGCGGTGCTCGGGCGTGAAAGAAATCCTGTGTCTTCGCTGCCTTCCCACCTGCATCTGATCCCAGACACTGATGTCACGGACAACAAAGTGAATAAAAGATGGGGTTTGTGTGTTATGCTAGTAGGGAAGTGATTAAATTTTAAACACGTAGTTTTGATCTAATTCTAGCTCCCTCACCCAAAGGACACCGACGCTTTGTGGAAGGAAAAAAACTTGTGAGAGCAAATAGGGAGGCATGTTTACTGTCATTTCTATTTATACTAACTCACTTCCACTTGCTAAGCTGCTATGCATGTGGGAAGAATTTGAGAGAAAGATAATCAGATTTCTCGGACGTTATTCTGTATGACAGCTAGCTTCAGATGCTGCCTGCAACAGCAGACCTGGTGCCAGGTATTGTTTGTGCGAATCCTCCGTGCAGCTCTAGCAGCGGCCACGGTAATAGTTACTTATCCCCCCAAGGTCGCCAAGTTTTCAGGCAGCCTGGGCTCAGGGACTATCAGTGAATCACATCCAGAAGTGCAACAACCAGAACAAACTGAGACAGCAACAAATTATTCGTATTTTGATTGTTTAGGAAGCTTGCCCATTTTTTGTTGTGAAATGAAGGCGGCAGAGAACCTGTGCAAGCTGCTGACATCTCCTAACAGATGCAGGACGACATTCTTTAAATGCACGTCCTTAAAATCAGTCACAGGAACAGTCCCACTGATATCCGAGATGACTAAACTATCCGGCGCTGGCTGCAGGTGCAGATCTCTGGCACTAGTTTGGATTTAGAAATCAACCTGCGAAGTGCTGCAACCTTCCTTCAGCAATGTGTGGAGCACAGTGCACAGCACCCGTGATTAACTTGAAGCGTAGAAATCCTTTGGGGAAACATGGTTGGAATACCCTCAGCTTCCACAGGAGTGAGACGTGCATGTAATCCTATAAAACTAGCATTTCTAACATAGTAAAACCTGAATTTATTTAAGACTATAATCCCTAATTATTCCAGAATATAAATCATCGTGCAAAATTATTTTAACAGGGTACTACTTTGATTTCTCTGCTTCACAAGATAGGTGGGAGGGAATTCTATAGCTTAGGGAGTACGTCCAGATAATTAAATGTCACTGTAACATGTAACCTACACATAGGAGCAATCACTTAAAATTTAACGGTGAGGGAGATGAAGAATCATTTTCATTTAAAATAACAGCATATAAAAGACAAAAGTTTCAAAATATGCTAGCAGGAACAAATACCTCTTACAGTGCTTTTATTTTGTATCATCCATGTAACCCTAATACAATGTGGTAAGATGACATTGCTGTTTCTGAGAAAACTAAAAGAAGCTTTTTTTTAAAGTCCGAGTTAGACAAAATTTGCATAGCTTGGTTTTTAGGAAATACTGAGCACTGTTACAAATAAATCCCTTTAGCCTTATTTTTTAAAAGTTCATGACTCTGAGATGTAGGAATGCAGAAAACACTTGCAAGAATTAATAATAGTACATAACTGCACTTTCTCTATTAGGCCAAGAGCTTTAGCATGGCTGGGAAATTAATGCTTCAATAAATTACAATTCCAGAAGGTCCGGTACGTCTGGGTCCGTAAGTCCTCATAACAGAGAGCACAAAGAGGATCAAATATACCAGGGCTCAGGCTTTATCCCTTCCTCATCCATAGGTAATTCAAAGAGATCCTCTTCATTAAGGGCTTTGGCACATTGCCTACAATTTCTTTTTGGGCCGCTGTGAGCTTAATGATGCAGAACAATGGTCTTTCCTCTTGTTGAACACATACCTTATTGTACCTTTAATCACCTAATAAAAACCAAATTAAGACACCTCATCATTAAAGTCTATTGTAGCTGCGCATATCAATGCTTTGTGTTCCAGCTACAGCGGGGACTGTGGCAGCTTGAAACCTGGATGCAGAACAGCATCACCGACGATAAGCGTGCTGGTGGCAGCAACGTGATGCATATAATATCTTAGATGTATCCTGAGGTTTACTTCCCAGTTGCATGCGGCATACAAAGTAATTATATGCCATTAGATTTGGGGTTTCTAGTTAAATAGAAATTTTCTTAGAAGATTTTAAAGGTTATGAAAATGGAGGGAGAAGGGGGAAGAAAGAAAACCAGAAAATGGTGAGGGTGTTTTAGACCAGTTTTCCAGTTTGCTTTTCTCAATGGCATCAGCTCCTATACAAACAGTAACAGAAATAAGGGCTTTTCCCTTTGCAGGAAAATTCCTGGGGGACCAAACAGTAATCGCCATTGAAGGAAACTTAGAGAATTGAGTCATCTGAGGTAGAGCTTTTGAGTTTGTAGAATAGAAAAAAAAGATTAGGATCTCAATTTAAGAAACTTTCCAAGTACCTGTTTCACTCTTAAGCACGTGTTTATGCACAGTTTGGGAGGTAAGCGCATGGTGAAGTCACATCCTAAATAGACACTTAATATTTCCAAGCATAAGAACATAGAGTTTTAAATCACAGATGACTCTAAACTGGCTGGGCAGTGCTCAAAGCTGTTCCCTAGGATTCAAGATGACAGACTTCATCCAGTTCTCATGGTGGGAAGATATCATAAAAACAACCCATCAAAACTGGCACTTCCAGCTGAGAAATCATGTGATAAGGGAGTACGGAGACCAACCCCTTCCTCCCAGCTGTCCCTCCAGAGTAAGGATAGAAGCGCTGGCAGGAAACAAGCTCACGTTGCCACTGCCCTTGCTTCAGATGATCCGAGGTCAGAAGATTTCTGCCTCTGTGATTGTTGAGCTGGCACCTTTCACAAATACTAAAGTTCATATATAAATAAACAGTTGATGTAATGACCTTTTAGTGGTTTAGGAGCTTGAAAGCCCCATTTCACATGCTCTTGGCCTGGCACGTCTCCGAGACAAGTAAAAATGACAGCATTGGTAAAAACAATAGTGGGCAAGCTGGATTTGTCTTTTAAACTAGACCGAGATATGATGTGGCCAAGGTTATATATATATTATATAAGCACTAAGGTCAGCATACAAATTGCTGTGCTAATGAGAAGACGGTAGCGACGAGGAAGTAACCAACACTGTATTTCCTTGGCAACTTCCAGCAGCATCACTTGCAAGGAGACTGTTCCTTCAGCAGAACTCAGCCACAAACCAGTTGCACTGAGCTGGTCACTGATACGGTTCCCTTCGCCATTAGAATGCCATTCACACGTTTAGACTTGCAAATATTGGACAAGTCATTAAAATTAGACAGTCATTAAGAAAGCCTGATTCAAGGAAACAGTCTAACTAGACAAACCTACCGAGCAATGACGTTATCCTAAATCAGAGCCAGAATGAAGCTTGCCAAAATAAACATTAAGGTAAAAAAAGAAATTCTAATCAAAACTGTAAGATTTGGGAAACAAAAATAATTGCCTCTGTACATAGGCTTTTCACACCCTCACATTTAATTGGGCAGCCAGAGAATTAGTTGGTCTACATTTCAGTAGTTTTCCATGTTAAGACCGAACTGGTTGTGCCAATTATAGTAAACTGGTCTGCTTGAAATACACTGTATGGCTTCAGATACTCTGTATGTACAGTCTGTGCGGCAGCTGAAATTAAGAATAGCATTGAAGTTCTATTCCGTCACTTCGCTACCATTAAACTTGACCTCAATAACAGTTGTGAACCTATCACACTTACTTCAAAGTCGGCATGTGTTTGCTTAAACAAGATGTTAATTCCAAGGGCTTTGTTCTAGACAGGGTTTTCTACTGCTGAATTAGTGCAGCTGTAGAAAAACTCTGCTTGACAGACTGGAGACTCATAATCTTCAGAAAACTGCCCTTTAATGATTGTGGCGCCTGTCTGTGGCTCAGAAGTCCCCTTTCTTAATTAGACATTTACCAGAAACTGGCAATTGAAATTTTCCTCTTCACTTGACGATGAATAATGCAATGGCTCTGTTAGGATTTCTCTAGAAGGTACTCTTTATTGCATGT